AAAAAAAAAAAAAAAAAACTGACTAAATCCATTATCTGTTTTTTTTTCAAAACTTCCATTGTCGGAAGTATTAAAGTTTTTAAAATTAGGTTAAATAGGCAAAAAAGCAAATCGTGTCACCTTTCTTTGTTTTACTTGTATCGGGAGCGTGTAGGACCGCTCTCAGCTGAAGATCGCTGAATCGGCGACCACGTGATTGCAGGCACACAGGCTTAGCCCACTGAGCCATGAATGCAGTTATGAGCTTCGCTGCTGAAAGTGGCAACACTGGCGCAAAGCTTCAGCAGCAGAGACGTATCCGTGTGCTATATTGTAGCCGATCAGTGTAAACACTACCCAGACGTGCTCTTGTTTATTTCGGTCACAATGGGCGTATTCACATATTTCTTTACCCAATACTAACTGTCGGATTATCCCGAGCAACGCGTCTATGGATGTTTTCCCGCACAATACCATATCAAGCTACACGACAAAACTATTGATCTGAACGGTAAATGGGAAGTAGGATTAGCAGAAATCCAGAACGTGGGATACGCTGGTGGAAGAAGACACATTATTTTACGTGACCGGTGCAGTGTCAATACCGGCAATCCTGCAATACAAGCTAAAAGCGGGGCATTACAGAGATATTGAAAACCTAATCAGTGAAATGAATGATGCTCTAGGAATGTCAAAACTAAAACTTGACTATGGCGTGATAAAAAACAAGGTGTATATGGTTGGACCACTGCACATGGCTTTAAAAGCAAAAGGTAACCTTGCAAGGATGCTGGGGTTTGTTCCGGATGTATTTGAAAAGGTTGCTGATAGACCATCGGCTCCGAATCCCGCAGACATATGTGCCGGATTTTACACAATTTACGTGTATTCAGACATTGTCGAGCACCAAAGAGTGGGTGACAGTTTCGTGCCTCTTTTACAGGGGGTTCATATTACGGGGGCTCACAACTCGATGGTCACAATATCGTACGACAGGGTCCATTATGTTTCGCTCTGCAAGAATCACATTGATAATATAGTCATCGAGTTAAAGTCTGACCAGAACAAGACGATACCCTTCCGGTACGGAAAAACGATCGTGAAGCTGAATTTCAGGCCGGCTAAGCACTACCCCCAATAATAATAATGTACAGCGCCGACGGTTTTTCAGATCCACATAGATATGTGGAATACTACAGAAACCAAGCTGGTAACGGCCTCCCCGGATACAACGGTGTACCTGTCATGTACGGAGGGGGGCTGTGGGGTCTTTTTTGAGAACTCCTCAGAATGGCAGTACCATTTCTGAAAAGGACTTTCAGTATGGCAAAGCCGACTTTAAAATCGGCAGCGCAAAATATTGCAAAGGAGGTGATAACAGGTGCGATTATGAGGCAATTAACAACACGACCGCAAGAGAGCTCCGGGCTCATAAGAACATAAGAACTATACAAACGAGAGGAGGCCATTTGGCCCATCGAGCTCGCTTGGGGAGAACTTAACTAATAGCTCAGAGTTGTTAAAATCTTATCTAGCTGTGATTTAAAGGAGCCTAAGGATTCAGCTTGCACTATGTTATCAAGAAGACTTTTCCATACTCTGACTACATGCTGTGTAAAGAAGTGCTTCCTTAAATCCAGTTTGAAATGTTCTCCCGCTGATTTCCACCTATGGCCACTATAATGCTGAAGTAACTATTCGGTTGAACAGCATCCAAACCTGTTAGAATCTTATAGACCTGGATCATGTCCC